ACACTAAAAATTTCAAAGTTTTACCGCTAAGTTTTTCTTAAAAAAATGGTTCTTAAACTTGCGAACGAGCCCCTAAATTGAGTTCCAAAAAAGATACCTTACCCCCTCCCCCATGGGAGTGAGGTGTAGTCAAGCCTCGGTTCTGGGATTTAAGCTTGTTTTCAATATTACCGAACTCGCGTCAGACTTGTTTTTTAAAGACTTGAGAAGAGAGATGCGTGAAAAAAACGTCCGCTCAATTTTTATTTGATTCGATATTAAAACAAATTTGCATTCTACTGTTACGATGGTTACAGAGTCAGTAAAGTTAACTTGCACTGAAATAACTTTTTTGTATATGACTATAGAAACTGTATTAATTTAATTCGTGAAAAAACTAACAAAATACTTTAGGAAAAATTGCTTATTTTAACAGGCTCATAGCGAGCACTTTTCTAAAATTAGTTAACGCTGCACAATTCTCAAATTTTATTCCGCCCAATTATCAACTTTAATACTGCCCTATTATTTACTTTTATCCCACCCTATTATCAAATTTAACAAAAATGATTCTAAAAAGATTTGATTTTTTTAATAGTTTTTATACAAAAATTTCTTCGATTGTGTTTTAACAATTTTTTAACTGGTTATATATTTTTTGCATGTTATTCTAAAAATTATATTGAATCAAGAGATCCACAGAAAATTTTTCTACCCAGTTGTTCAACATATTCTTTTGAATACTTATTCAGCTAGAAGAACTTTAGTCTTTTCTACAACTATGACTAATGTAAGATTTATTGGTACTTTCACAAAGATCTCGGAGAAAAATGTAAAAGCTACCTTGATAGACCACATGGTCAATTTCATTCCAAAAAAACTATTATTTTAATGATACAAAATATAATAATACAAAGATCAAGCTTTAATTTGTTTGTTCGAAAATGCTCTTTGATCAAGCTTCAATTTGTTTGTTCGAAAACATTCTACAATCCGTTTTTCTGCTGTTGGTGTTCTTTATGAGTTATATTAATATTCTTTCTGAGTTTTCTTTAATAATTTCACGATCTCTTGATATGGCATTTATATTTTTTTGTATTTTTGCTAATACTTTTTTTACATTTGTATAGCATGTTTTACAAATACAATGATAGTTATTTATTTAAATTAGCTTTTCATTTATGATTTTTTCTATATATATGTATAGAGGTCAGCCTCTGTTATTTTTTCCTTATTATCCCATAGATTAATTTTAATAGAACTATCATCATATGATGAATACTTTTGTGTGATATCATTAAAATCAACACGTTTAATGAACTAGGAGAAACCTCAGAAGGTTGTGATCATTTTTTTGGCAATAGTAAAATTTTTTTTTTTTAAGTATTGAAACATCGTAATCATGGCATTGAAAATCAAACAACTTATCATTCATTTATTAAAAACTGGATACTATGTTGCAATAAAAGAGTACACCAAAACTTATGAGTGTATAAAAAGCAAAACAAAATGTATCAATTTAATATTAAGTTAATTTGATTGAATTTTGCCGCTACTTATGAGTAAGAAGAAAAAAAACGAATTTACTATTATCTTTATAAATCTGCAATCAGATAAAACTTTAATAATGTGTCTTTTTTTAGTTTGAAAGTTAAATGTACGGGTTAACAAAATATATTTGACATATCTTAAATTTGGTAAAATGATTGATAATTTGTTGAAAAAGGTTGATAATTGATTTTTAAAAAGTTTATAACCCCATCCTCAAACCTGCTAAGGGTAAATTTTTTTGCCATTTTTAATTATTTTAAATAACTTAAGTTTTATCATTTAACTTCCCATAGCTCACGGAAAAAAAAAGTCAGACAAAAAATAGTCAAACCAAAGTATAAAACTTATTAAATTCTATTGAAATTATTATAAAACAGCTGTTAAGGTGAGTTTCCACTCATCCGTTTTTTCACGGGAACGGGATAGGAAAAGGAAAAATAATCAGGTGAGCATGCGTAGTATAAATTTTAATATATTCAAAGAAAAACTACGCATGCTCGCGTGATTATGTTTTCCTTTCCTATCCCGTTCCTGTGAATAAACGGATGAGTGGAAACTCACCTTTAGAAAATGTGCATTTGACCGCAAGCCTCATGAGGCTTGAAGTCAAATGCGCAAAATTAAATTAAAATAATGCACTAAATTTAAAAAGTTTTATGCCTGTTTTGTAAAAAGTATTAGTTTGGATTTATAAACAGAAATTTTTTTAAAAAACACTTATATTGTAACATAAAAAATTCCCCCACCCTTTTTTTATTAAAACTCCTCTCCCTGCCCCCCCCCGCCCACCCCTGTTTATTTAATCTGAACTAAAACTCCCTTTTTTTCCCTCCCTCCTCTTCTTGTATTGAGGACCCAAGAGTATTTAGGCGATCAATTTTGTCGTCTTTTAAAGGTGAGTTTCCACTTATCTGTTTTTCTACGGGAACAAGACAGGGAAGGAAAAAATAATCACGGAGGCATGCGTGAACTTCGGCAAGCGATTAGTATGCTTAAATCAAATAAAAGTGCGGGTCTGGATGAAATTAAACCTGATGTTGTAAAAGCTGTCTCTGATATCATAGAGAAACCCCTTTTCATAATTTTTAATCTATCCCTAAAAAACGGCATTTTTCCCGACCAACTTAAATTAGCAAAAATAATTCCAATATACAAAAGCGGCGACGACTCAATAATATCTAACTATAGACCGATTTCCATACTTTCCTGTTTTTCCAAAATATTAGAGCGTATTATGTTCAACAGGCTGTACAATTATCTTGAAAAAAATAATATTCTTTATCATAAACAGTTTGGTTTTCGAAAAAACCATTCTACGGAACATGCCGTAATTGATCTTGCGAACCAAATTTTACAAGGTTTTGAAAACAATTGTTACACACTTGGAATTTTTCTAGATCTATCAAAGGCATTTGATACTGTAAACCACAAGATTCTTATCTACAAACTACGTAGTTACGGAGTAGTTCACTCTAATTTAAAGTGGCTTCAATGTTATTTAGAAAACCGTAAACAAGGTGTACCATATGATCTAACATGCTCCCCATTTGAATCAATAAGTTGCGGAGTTCCACAAGGATCAATACTTGGACCTTTATTGTTTTTAGTTTATATCAATGATATTTTTTTGTCTTCAAAAATACTTAATTATACTATTTTTGCTGATGACACTAATGTTTTCTTTTCTGACTCAAATTTAAAAAATATTTTTTATTATGTAAACGCTGAACTAATATATCTTAATGAGTGGTTTATAGCAAATAAACTATCATTAAATATTGAAAAAACTAAATATATTTTGTTTGCTAAACCATCTCAATCCGAGAACCTTCCACTTAAACTTCCAGAACTAACAATTAACAATATTAAAATAAAAAGAGTTTTTTCAATGAAAATACTAGGAATAAATTTCGATGAACATTTAAATTGGAAAAGCCAAATAAAGTTAGTCGAGAACAAAGTTTCAAAGACTGTGGGGATTATGTACAGGACAAAACATCTTTTGAATAAAATATGTTTAAAAAACTTATACTTTTCATTTATACATAGTCATATTAACTATTGTAATATTGCCTGGGCAAACAATCATTCATCTTTCCTAAAAAATATTTATACTAAACAAAAGCAAGCAAGTCGATTAGTTTTGGGCGCAGATAGGTACGAAAGTGCCAAGCCGTTACTCAAGGAAATTAATGCGCTAAACGTATACGAACTAAATATATACCATAACTTGTTATTTATGTTTAAACTTCAAAATGAACTAATTCCAAAATATTTTTATAAAGGTTTCTCTCTAATTAACCATAAATATGAAACAAGACACTCAATAAATAATTACTACATCCCATCAACATCACTCAAAAAATCTGACTTCTCAATTACATGTCGGGGGCCACGCTTGTGGAAGTTAGTTCTTGACGAAAATATGAAAAAAATAAAATCTATTGATATATTTAAAAGAACTATAAAAAAACACTTACTAAACTCAAACATTACATACATTCTTTCATTTTTTTAAAAATAATATTTTTTTGATAAATTTGATAAAAAGCTTTTTTTTTTTTTTTTTTTTTTTTTTTTTTTTTTTTTATTTTTTTTTTAATATATATATATACATATATATCTTTCTTGTTTGATTTTCTCTTTGACTGTTTTTTTTTTAACTTTTTTTAATAAATACTAACAAATGAATTTAAATCTACATAACGTTTGGAATCTTTTTAATATATAAATATTTTTGAATATATACTTCGCTTTGTATTGAATATGTATACGTATATGTTCTGATTTGTAAAAAAAAATTCAAACTTTTTAATTTACGCATTGTATACATTTTTATTTTTTTATTTCGAGATTTTATTATTATTATTAATATTTTTTTTTTTTTCTTTCTAATTTTTACTTTTTTTAATTTTTAATTTATTTTAAACTTTTTAATTTTTTTCAATCTTTTTACTTTATTTCAAACTCTTTAAATTTTTTTATTTTTATTTTAATTTTGTTTGAATGTTTGTTTATTTTTTCAAAATTTTTAATTTAACTCTTTTTTATATTATTGGAATTTTAGAAATTTTATATTTCTCTATTTCACAAAAGGGCTTGATGATAAGACTTTATGTCTTCTACTTGCCCCTGTCAGCTTGTAATTATATATATATTTATTCGAATTTAAAGATAACATTGTAAAATGTGTAAAACGACAAAAAAATAAACTAAAAAAAAAAAAAAAAAAAATGCGTAGTAAAAGTTTTAATTTGACCGAAGAAAAACTAAGCATGCTCACGTGATTATTTTTCCCTTGCTTATCCCGTTCCCGTAGATGAGTGGGAATTCACCTTAACTTAAATGCAGCATGATTTTTGTAATACAAATGTTGAACTTTATTATTATTATTATTTTTTTTTTCCAAAAAAATTATTTTATTTTTTGCAGATTAAAATTCATTAGAAAAATTATAAATAAAATAAAGTTATAAAGTGTATTAAATCATTACAAAAATGTATTGAAAAAATAAGTTTCAATAAGTTTTAAAAAAAATTGCAGATCAAACACCAAATAAAAAGACTTGAAGCAAGTTTGAACCTTTTGCTTGAATTAGAGTGAAAGTCACATGAACCAAGTGTGTGTGTACCAGAAACGCAGAATGAGGATTTATTGCCACTAACTTTAAATCCATCTTTGCAGGTGAGAAAGTATTGCACTGAGTTTCCGTATTCTTTTACTTCAACGTTCCCATTTGGTACGCTAATTTTAGTAGAGCACGTTTGAACTATATTTTTGTAGGTTTGTTTTAAATCAATTGTTCTATTAAATATAACTAAATTACTCATTCCAAATTCTACGTTACCGGTAACTTGTATATCGTAATTACAATCTTTGTTTCCGTTGCACTGTGGGTAATCAACTGGAGATGAAAAATCAGGAACAAAACGTTGATCTTGATAATCAAACCATGAAAGACCTTTAGGGTATGTAAACAAAGATGTTTTATTAGAAGTTGACCAAGACATTCCGAAACTAAAGTGAATGTTATAGTTAGATGAGTTGGTTGAAATAAATGTCCCGTTTGGCAACATTAGATCATTGCTTGGGTTGTCGTCCCAGTCTCCTACTAAACCACTAATTCGATTTTTAAAAGTATCCGATAAAATTAAAATAGTGTGAAGTGCTTTATTAAGAGCTATTATTTCAAATCGAATACCTGAGTAAGTTTGAATTACAACAGTTGCATTGTTTTCGTAATTTAAACTTATTCCATTAAAATTCCAAAATCCAAAATCTAAACTTAATGATTGTCCGTTAACAATGAACACAAAAGTCTGCTTGCTACTTAATTCTATTTGAATAATGTCGGAATTATTACTTTTAATTACAAATCCAGAAAAAAAACTAGCATCTTTTTTAATGCCTTTTTGATCAATATATTGAGACATTCGCGACTGAATTATGTCAGATTCGTTTTGCGTTGTCAGGTAAACAAACTCACCAACTGGGTTAAAGCTGTAAGAAGTTCCGTCCATTGTTGTAAAATGAGGATCTCCATTTGCGTTTCTGGGTATTATTGGTGGTATGGGTCGAGGATTTATACTTGGTCGTTTTTCATAATATTTATCACACTGGTTGACTCCTATTTTGCAACAAGTTAAAAAAGGCAGTACATCTTTTTTGAAATGACCCATTGTATTTATTTCTAAATCACCAAAACCAAGAGTTCCGCCAGAAGGTTTTCCTAACAATAATTTGAAATCATTTGTGTAGCAGCATTGGGTAACTGGATCTCCTTCATTTTTTGTGCTTCTATAGCAGCCCTTAGCTCCAGGATGAAACATCTCGCACATAACTTTATTTTTTACATCGTTCGGGTTGCAACTTTCGTCAATAACGTAATTGTCTATTCTATTAGGAAAATTTGGAGGGATTCCCGGCAAACAAGGTTTTCTTATATTTAAATCTTCGACAATTCTTCTCATTTCTGAAGTTGACGATTGATTATTATACCAATTAGTGCAATGCACCGTGGCTGCTGAATTCTCTGTTTTAATAATCATGGCTGCAACAACAGATGTAGGAGTAAAGAACCCTGCAAGAAAAATACTTCTAATTAATTGAAGTTGATCATTTTTTTGAAAATTTGGCTTTAAAGTGGGTTGCAAAAAGACTTTTCCGTTGTTGGGAAAATAACCATATTGTAAAGCAATTATATCTTCTAAAATAATATTTCCTTGATTGTTAATATAGTGATCAATCTGATATCCTGAAAACTCAATACTTTGCTGATCTTCATATGTGGGATCCCACTCTACTGAAAAATTTCCATCTATGTTTGATTCGGAGTGAATCTTGTTTATATTTTCAACTACAGTATTGTCATCTCTTCCTACAGATATAATAAAGCTCTTATATTTAATTGAGTTGTATTCTAAAAGTATATCAATTTTTCCTAGTTTTTTGAGAAACGGAACTCTGCATTGCAAGTTTTGCCATTGTCCAAAGAAGCATTGAACAGAAACGTCATCAATCAAAACTGAAACGTTCAAATTATTTTGCTGGTAACAAACGCCTGATATTATAAGATTGCACGCTCCAAAATAGAGTGTCTTCCTCGGAAATATTTCAAGCTGGCCTTTTGTGTTACATTGTTCAATAATGTCATTCGCATCAGTTGAAAATATCCACTTTCCAGGTACTCCAATGTTGCTTTGAAAAAGCGCAACTTCTGATATGCCAGCGGTGTTAGATTTTGGCATAAGAAAAAATCTTTTTCCATCGCCAGCGTTAAACCCTACTTGAGCATAATCTTTGCATTCTCTTGCTCCCGTAGAATAACCAAGCTGGTTAAAATTAAAAATTGCAAACGAATTAACTCCATCACTGGTTAAAACTGTTTGGTGCGTCACGTTACTGTTACATGTCGTATTGCATCCGCAGCTGTATGGAAGCACCTGATCAAAAGTGACAATTAGCGCCCACTCAGCATTAAATTTATTGTAACTGATAAGACGATGTTTAATTTCTTCAGAAATTTTTTTGAGAACAGTTCTATTTGTTATTTCTTTATAGAAAACATTTCCTCCTTTTGAAGGATCGCTGTCTGTCCAATACGCTGCCACAGATTGCATACTGGTCAATGGGTATGGTTTCGGGCGGTAATCAGTATTACTAGCTCCAAAAGTTATTATACCGTTTGTACTTAAATAAACTTCTTGGTAAATGGAACCAAAGAATGGATAGTTGAATGATATGCTTATTTTTGTTGAAGCATCATCAACACGCTGAAGCATTTGATCATTTGTTGAACTCCCAAATGGATAGAAATCAGCAATTTTTATTACACCGCCAACAATATTTACCAGCAACATTACTAACCATACTTTAAACATTGCCAAAGAAGCAAGATAGCTCTATTAAGTTTAAAATATTGATGAACTTTTCTTCTATTTACCTAAACTAAAAAAAGTAAAAATATAAAAGCGAATACTTGTATATTATTTTTTAATAATTGTTACTTGTGTTTGACACAAGTGACAATCATTAAAAAATAAGATAAAAGTAATCTATAAATAATTTTTGGTAGACTTAAATCACTTTGTTATGAATATTTTTCACACATGAAGGGCCTAAAGGAAAACCAGCGACGTGACACATTAAAAATTTTTGAGCTATTACCCCTACTATGTTATAAGTAAGTTATTGAATCTTTTAAAAGATGAGTATCAACAAAAAAAAAGTCAAATCATATTTAAATTTTTATTTGAAAAAAGAGATCACAAGGGGTAAACCAGATATGTCCAAATTGTTCAAGAGGTAAATCGGAGTTGTCTCGCTTTTTACAACTATTTGCGTAACACCGAATCAAATTTCGTTTTACAATAAAACAAACATTTTATTATTTTAATAATGGCGGATAAATTTCAAAAACTTGATACTACAGAAATCCCAAAAAAAAAAAGAAAATTTTTTGTCGAAAGTGTGAATGAGACGATTATCTTCGCGTACAATGGGCTTTCCATTGCAAGCGTTATATGTGTTTTTAGAATACGATTAAGAATACGTTTTATTGCAAGCGTTATATGTGTTTTTAGAATACGACAATAGAATAGAGGGAGTTTTCACTTTCTTACTTTAGTAAAATGTAAAATAAAGATCAACAATACAGCTTCCTTGCTTCAATGATTGAGGTTTTAGGTATTAAACAAAGAAGACCTCGACAAAAAGATTTTCTTTTTTTTTCAAAAGGATTTTTTCATGACGACTCATTTTCTAATAACATCAAAGTGACACGAAATCATAACACTGTTAGAGTTCCAGTTTGCATCAATGCTATTTTATCAATTTTTAGAATTTGAAAATCAAGAATAGAAAGAATAAGAAGATTTCTTGCTAAGACTGAATTGTAAACAGAAATAAACATTGATTTATTTAATAATTAGTAATTCAAGTAAAATAAATTATGAACAAATGTGTTTCAACGAAGTTTCTCTCTTAAAAATATCAACAGCAAAAAAAAAATTATATATGAACTTGAAAGTTAATAGTTTGGCTTAGTTAAATAAATAAAACATTATGAAGCTTTGATTATTTTTTTAAGAAGTTTCTCCTAAAAGCCAGCTAGGAAAACATACAAATCGAACTCTAGCCTTTTTATACCATATTGTAAATAGTATTATTGATTATATCAAGTATTTTAAAGGACGAAAAAGTCATTATGCTTTACATAACACTAAAAAGCTGTATTTACCAGAAGATCTAAACTCGTCAAAAATTTACGATATGAATAAGGAGCGTTTCCCACAGAATAAAGTTTGTGAAGAAAGCTACGTGTGTTTTAACTATGTGTGATTATTTAAGAATATTATTGGATATTATCTAATTTTCTACTTTCTTTCTTTACCAGGAAAATATTTGTAAAAAAGTTTAACATTAGCTTTGTTTATCCTGGTGAAGATACATGCTCCACATGTGACAAACTCAATATTATACTTAAAAACCAAAGCACCTCTGTAGAACAACTCATCAAGAGTCGTCAAGAAAAAGAGCTTCACTTGCGGAAAGCAGAGATGTTTAAATGCCAGAAAGAAAGAAGCAAATTTTAATGCAAAAACTGCCCATGCAGCTTTTGAATGTGACTTTGCTAAAAATATAAGTTGTTCTAATGCTTCTACAAACGAAATGTATTATTGTAGACAGTTTTCTGTGTACACATTTAATATGCTTCGGATCAAACAGTGCTCACTTATTTTGTTACGATGAAACTTACGGTAAAAAGGGAGCAGATAATGTAGCAAGCATGCTGGAACACTATTTTGACGACATTTAACCAAAGAATATATCACATTTGCAGCTTTTTTGTGATTCATCTCTCTGATTGCTTGGAGGGGGCATTTAAGGTTGAAAAAGATCTCACTTTTGCTGCAGCATGGGGCTCACAGTGGCTGATGAACTTTAATTCAGATAAAACTCAATTTTTTTCAGCCAATCGTTATCGCAATAATTTAGATCTTTCTATATTTATGAACGGTAATGTACTCGATGAGTCATCTACCCTCCATCTTCTAGGATTAACTCTTATCTCTGATCTTTCTTGGAAACCGTATATCAAATCTGCTGCAGAATTAGCATCTGTTAAGGTTGCATCTCTTTATCGAGCTTGGCACTTTCCTACTCCAGATTGTATTCTTTACCTCTATAAATCTCAAATCCGGCCTTGTATGGAATACTGTTACTATATCTGGGGTGGTTCTTCTAATAATGCCCTTTCTCTTTTAGACAAGGTACAAAAATGCATTGTAAACATAGTTGGACCTGCTTTTGCGGCCAGCCTTTAACCGTTGTCACGTTGTCGTAGTGTTGCTTTTCTTTCTCTTTTCTACAAGTACTGTAATACTTTTGTGCCATCTAATAAAATTCATTCTCGCGTTACTTGTCATTTAATTAAGTCTCATCCTTTTTCTGTGACTGTTACAAAAACTCTTATTCTTCTAGTTTTTTTCCTCGAACATCAGTTCTTTGGAACTCGCTTCCTTCATCTTGCTTTCCTGATTCATATAATTTGCAATCTTTTAAGTCATCTGTCAATCTTTATCTTGCTCTACAATATTCATATTTTCTCTTCCAGTAACTTCCAACATTAATTAGTGGTTGTTGTTTGCCTTTTTGGAAGCAAAGATGTTTAAAAAAAAATGTATAATTTAAATTCCTAAAAAATATTTTTACGTTAATTTATCATGTAATAAGATCATACTAATTTACAAACCTAAGATATATATATATAGAGCCGCAAATAACATTGTAAGATAAGTTTTCAAATTTTTTTTTTTTTCTCAAAATAAAAACAACGTGACATCACTGGTTTTCCTCTTGCACCCTTCATATGTTGTACGTACGTAGCAAACTGACGTAGGTATGATTAAAAATATAGTCAAGTAAGTGACTATATTTTTAAATATAGTCACTTACTATACAAGTTATAGCTTGTTATAGGTGTATTTAGTGTTATATTATATATGTGTGTTAGGTGCAGTTTAAGTTTGCCGTAAAGGCAAATTTTAAACAAAATAACTTAATATTAAAGTACTCAAGCCGTAATTAAATTCATATCTCTAATTTTATAAAATTATGTTTTTAATTTTTTTTCTTTGTTATTTTTTTTAACTTTTATTTTTTCAGGTATAATACCCTTCTGTGAAAGTTGTACATAAACAAAAGAATATGAGTTTTCTCATTTAACTTATGAAAATATAACTCAATTATTTTTTAAAACTAGCTGACCAGACCGATGAAAATACGGGTCTATGTAAGTATATTTCACACTGACCTTTTCTATATTTTTTCCTCATACAATCTAGCTATCCGGAACGGGTCTTCACCAAACCGACCGTTTCCGCACTTATTCCATATTTTTTTGAGGGTTTAAAACCACCCCTTACCACAATACATCTCAATTTTTAATCTGGCCATATATATTTATAGCAAAAAAATAAATATAACAAAAAGCACTAAATATTTTTAAAATTGAATTTCAAAGTTTTTGCTTGTTACGGGTTGAATTACAATGACGGGCTTATTAATTTTTTTTTTATTAAGTGTCAAACCATAACCTTTTTTTAGACCATCCGCAGCTTATTAGGACTAGTTACCTGTCCACTAATTTACAGAATTGCACTATGTATCACAGTCACAGCAATCGTTTAAATGCAGTTCATGTAGAGTCAACCACGGCAGTAGCGAATTCGTCAATTTCATGGATTTTTTTAAATGAAAATAAATATAAATATAGATATATTATTTCGAGTGAAGTATGGATTCACTGCAAAAGGAGAAATAGCATCCAACAAATATTTTTAACTAGAGTATAGCGTTTAGAAAATTATTGTATATTTTTCAGACTATTGCAACGTTAACACACATAAATAATAACAACGTTAACACACATAAATGATTAAAATGCAAATCTTTAAAAAATTAGGTAGTCTAAAATATGAAAATAATATTTTGGTTATAGTTGTTATTTAAAAAATTAATAATAGTTATACATATTGCTTAAAGCTTTTAATTGTAAAAACAAAGAAAAAGAAAAAAACGTACACAGAAACGGAAATGCCAAAAATTTTTTTTACTGTTTATACTATAAGTCTATTATCCCAAATTGTACACAAAGTTTCTTAAGTATGTTAATATGATTTACGTAATCAAAAGGATTTTATCATAAAATATGTTAATCCAGAAGAAAAAAAAGTTTAAACATTTTCAAGTTTAAAAAGTTATGACCAAAATATTTTTGCGATATTTTTTAGGTTTCAGTACAGTTTATATACAAGTACTTAGGGTTGGAAATTTCGGGTTAGGGTTATAGTTTCCGACCAAAAGTAAGTGGATAAGACATTATTGATGGGACATTAGTCATTATCTATTAAATTGGACTACAAGTTTCTGAAAACCCTAAAATTATATGTAATATATATTTACTGTAACATTATACAAAACATATATTTACTGTAAAATTATATATAATATATATTTACTATAAAATTATTTATAACATATATGTAAAATTACATATAATATATAAAACTATATATAAAAAGATTTTATTGAATATTTTCAGTATTTTACACTTTTTTCATAATGTAAAGGCGAAATTGATTAATGAAAGGCAAAAAACAAAAGAATAAAAATTTTTACTAATTTTGAACTATTTAAAAATATAGTTAGCAATAAAATTAATAACTAATAATTTTGAGGTCATTAATTCCCCCGCTATGTTGAAACAAGTGGCGATTGATACTTGAGTCATACACGCCACAACCTTGGTAGGGCACTTTTGACTTTATTTTTTTAGTTTTATTTAGGCGCCCCAAAAAGTCCTTACGGTCTTTATACAGAGCATCGCGAATGAGCATATAATTTGAACTTCACGCCTCCTTCCTTACCGATGTCGTAAAACTTGTCCAGATATAGAGTTTGAACCACGAATCTTTTGTTTTTGAGGCAGAAGCACGCCACTGCGCTACGGCTGCTCAGACTTTATAAATCAATAAATTAAAAAATGAGGGAGGAGGAGGGCGTGAATCCATAAAAAGTACCGTTTCTTAACATTAACAAAAAAAAAAGGTGCTTAAAAACTAAAACTTATCTGACTGAATGGTGTCATATACTCAATTATATTCGTCAAAACACCAATCATAACTTAAAAATCACTTACTCTATGAGAATAGGAAAAGGGGGAACACCCCCTGCCCCACAAACCCTCCCTATAAAATTGTCTTTTTATGCAATCTTTACCCATAAAAATTTTTTTTTCTTCAAAACATTTTACAAAAATAAAACTTATTAATCTAAAAAAGATTCTATTGTTTGTATTTTGCCAAAATTTTACATCGTAGTCAAGAGAAGTAAAAGCTAGAAATATGTAATACACAAGCTCAAAAGACGAGCTAACTTAGAAAACATAGTTTTTTGTTGTTTCACAAAAGTAATGCAATTAAAAGTAACTTATAATAATTTGAGAGTTATATTTTTATTTATTATTTTTGCATTTTTATTGTTTTATTGTGTTTTTTTTTTTAAATCCGTGGTTCTTAGTTTGACAATAAAATTTGACTAAATTGGGCAAAAAAAAAAGTGCATTTTTCGCTCGTGGGTCTTTATTAATTTTATTTAATTATTTTTCTTTTTTTGAAATGTTCAAAGAATACCCAAATACAACGATAATAAAACACATATTTTTGAAACAAAGAAATTAATTTTATAAAGTTATATAATAATTATTAGTTTATTTAAAAAAAAAGTTTGAAAATTTTCGGAAAAATTGAGCAAAATTTACCAGAATATTTTTTTGGAAAATTTCCGAAAATTTTTTGACCCTACCAATATTAATGTAAACTTTTTTTATCCAGTGTTACTCCTAAAATGTTTACGGTGTTTCTTTTTTTAATATAAGGTATTAGTTTCTAATCTATGTTTAACCATATACTTTTAACCACTTTTATTTTATCCCAGTTTTGAATTTTATGCATTACTGTAATTTGTGTTTCGTGTTGCGTTTCTAATATCGTTAGTTGCATTTGTAATATATTACGTGTTGCGTTTGTAATATCGTTAGTTGTAAGTTTAAATATTATTAATTATTTCACCTTTGAAACGCCGTAAGTCACAGTCAGAGTAGGAGTAAAGTTTGTTTAATTTGCTTTGAAAAAGGAAAAAAATTAAGAAAAATACAAGAAGAAAGTGTATTTTTATTAAGAATTAAAAAAAATATTTCATCATTAGAAATTTATTAGTTTCTAATAAATTTCTAATTTATTCATTGATAAGTATATGAGGAGCCCATCGGCAAAACATGCAAAAGTCCAAGTAATTTGATTTTGAGAAAACAACAAAAAACTAAATTACTCATAGTTGCACATTACCAATGTCTATTTTTAGAACGAAAAAATTTCGTATTGGTCTAATAATATTATGGTAATATATTTCAGTATATAGACATTTTGGATAACCTTTTATGGTATATAGCATTGCAAACAGTAATGTTAAATTAAAATGCAATCAAAATATTTCAATTAAAAAGTTATGTATCCTATTAAATTTGATTTAGAAAGAAAAATATTTTTTATAAGAACAACAAAATTTTTTATACTTGCGACATTATTAAACAAAGTTTTAATAAAGGTCCATTTTTAGTACACCTGATTTTATCTACCAAGTTAGTGTTAACAAAATGATTTTTAATATCTATTACCTATAAAAATACAAACTTACTATCATAAATTTATTCATCTTACCAATTTACCAATAAAGTACAAATGTCTTTTATATCCAAGACTTAAGTGTCATTTATATTCAAGATGTTTAATCTGTGTCGCCATTTATCATGTTTAATCTCTGTATGTTGTCGACCACTGTTAATTTAAAAATTAAACATGTGATATCAAATAATAAAACAGAATAGCTTATTGGTGTATGCAAATTTTTTAAATTAGTAAGAGGGTTGTTTCAAAACTATCTAGCCTAATAAAGAAAGCACAAAAATTTTGAATTTTTTTATTTATTTATTTCTCATTATAGTCCCCTTTTAGCTTGATACACTTTTCCCAGCGATGTTCAATTGCTTTGATACCTTGTTTATAGTAAGAACCATCGATATCTGAAAAATAGCCATTAACCCCACTCTACCTCTTCATTTGTAAAATAATCTTCTCCCACAAATTCTTTTTTTCAAGTTTGAAATAAAAAATAATTATAGGGGGCTAAATCTAGTAAATAGGGTGTGTTAAGGCTTTCAGCCATGGCTATTTTTTATTTCAACATTTTTGTGCTTTCTCTGTTAACTTAGGTAGTTCTGGGACGACCCTAGCATTAGAACTAAAATTAATTTATATTCTTGATTAATACACTTTGAAAAGTTAAACCCGGATACAAAGTTAGTTGAGTTAATAAATATTTTTTAAATTCCACAACTAAAGTTGATTAGTAAGACTTATAAAGAGCGATTAGAAAATTAAAACTTGAAAACCTTCCTGCTTTATTTTTCCGAAGGTTTACTATCATTTTATTATTGCCGATGCTAATTGGTTAGTCCATTTAACAGTCATCCCAGTGGGCACAGAACGTCTTAAGGATGTCCTACGGATTTTTGATTCTATAAAAACTTGAGTAGACGTACCACGGCTGTCTGTGCCCGCTAAGATACATCCTTATCTTTCATCTTTTACAGTTAACACTTATTAGTTAGCATACCTTTTTTGTTGACAATACCTTTTCATGAAGGAAACTCAACAGTTTCTTTCATGAAAAGGTATTTTCATGAAGGAAACTGTAGGACTTAGTGGTTTCTCTCAAATAGGGTTTTCGATTAGAAATTGTGTAATTTTGAAATGGCTTGGTCGAGTAAAGAAAAATTGCTGATTTTGAACGAATAAAATGCTTTGAGTATCAAAATTATAGGCTGTTATGTATTCAACTAAAGAATATCTAGAAAACTGCTGGTAAATCTGTCAAATAAAAACTTGTTATTAATACAGCTCACATGTTAAAAGTTTTTACATAGAGGGTAAACTGCGGAGAAAAAATAAATGAAAAAAAAAATATTTAAATTTAGAAACAGTGCATCTCTATTAGCTAAGTTCAATAGAGTATTATGCAGTATAATTAAAAACACATGAAATTGTTTCATAGTGCAACCTAATATTAATTATGTTTTTTTGACTGTGAGATGTTGTTGTGTGAAGTGCTGACTGTGAAATCGGTTTTGTGTGATCAAAAACTTCCTTGCGTGTGATCGCCTTGTTTTTTGTTGTGATGAGTTCAACAATTATGTTTTTATTAACAAGGAGGTTTTTTATGTTATGCTGGTTGAAAACTTGCCGATGTAGTATTTGCATAGATAATTTAACAGCGAATTTAGCAAAAGTAAATAAGTTTTAGAAATGATGAATTTACGGTATGCATAAACACGAAACATCAAACCAATGGTTTCACCAACTTTTGGATATAATCATATTGATTATATTTTTTTTGTTTTATATGATTTATGAATAATAAAATAATTTTAATTTAGTTTTGAATTTCAAATAGACTTCACAATATATTACTTACGTAGTTTAAAGATGTTAAAACTGTTAAACATGTAAATCACCTAAAATGTTTTAAAATAATATTTAATCTGTAAATGGTGCCGATTATTCAATAGAAGGCGACAATGGGAGTATTGAACAATTAAGGTCAACGCAAACAAGTTTCATAATTTCTTTTAAATAGGGAATGCGATAAAGAAAACCTTCAAATATGTCTAAGGAAAACAATTTTCGTTAACTTAGGCGTTAGGTAACACCTAAGTTTACAAAAACTGCGTTCCTTAGTAGACTTGAAAATGATTTTGTGTTTATTATTTTGATTACTGCAAACAGTTGTTTGAATTTTAAGTTTTACCTGACAAATCAAGTTTTTAAACCATGTGTTCCGCTTATTTCGAAATAATTTAAAATGTATTGCATATAGGCGTACTTTTTTTATAAAAATTTAAAATAAAAAAAGATTCTGTTTTTAAGTTTTAAAAGATTTTTAGATTTTTAGGAGTTTTAATAACGTGTTTTTTGAAAAGTGTTTTAATTGAATTGAAATAGGGAGTTTTGTCACGTGAAATTTTTTTGTTTTTGAAAAACTTCGTGCAAAAAATGGAAAAAATGATTTTATGTAGGTGTAGCAGAATAAAAACCCACCTATGAAAATTAATACTTTATACGTATACATAGATGTTATTTTATTTAGAAAAGAATGTACTACAATAATTTGTTTGGGGACGACGTTTTGCTTTAGAATTGATAAAGTTAATTTTAAATGTTTCAGTTTTGTTTAAATACAAATAAATTAAGATAATTCTTTCGTCCCCACATAAAAATAGATTCTGCAACTATTTATTTATTATGTGAATCAGTTTTGGTATTATTTTATAGTAATTTATTAGGATAGGTTTTTGTTTTCAAAGTGGAATTTTTTTAAACTTCCCCCGTCTTTAGATATTTTTGAATGCAATCAAAACTTGATAAGGGGTCGTCCATAAATTACGTGACGCAGTTTTTGACATTTTTGACCCCCTACCCTTTCTCCTCGTAACGCGTCCGTAACAATTTATTGTCTCCTCCCCCCATCCCCCAACATTACGCAACAATTTTGCCCCCCCCTCCCCTCCTACCCTGAAAGTATTTTTTAAAGTTATTTTAGAAAGGATGGAAGGGATGCAAAATTTTACAAAATAAAAAAGCGATGTTAAATAAAATAATGTCTATAATTCTCTGAGCTTTATTGAGTTAATTAATTCGTACTTATCAGTCTGTTTATTGTTTTTTTTTCTTCCCAATATTTCCGTCTAAAATTGTATAAATTAACATCGCTCTCCTAAACATGATACTAATTTTAAAAACCTATTTATCCGATATATATTTCATTCAATTTATATATATATATATACATATATATATATATATATATATATATATATATATATATATATATATATATATATATATATATATATATATATATATATATATATATATATATATATATATATATATATATATATATATATATATATATATATATATATATAGAGAGAGAGAGAGAGAGAGAGAGAGAGAGAGAGAGAGAGAAGGAATTTGTTTCGATGCCTGCACTTGGATAGCATTTCACTTTTTTTGTTTAGCAGATTTTTATTTTTGGAAAATAAAATTTCATATTTTTTGTATGCGCATTGTTTGCAGGACTTTGTGGCTGGGTTGTAAGCATTGCACTGCTTAATTATTTTCCATTTGACAACTGGGTTTAAGTTGGTATCTTTTAATTTCCAAAATTCTTTTGATAATTCGGTGTCATTTTTGTATTTTATAATGTTAAATGATTTTATATGGTAGGCATATCTAATTTTGAATGGTGTTTCACTTATACCGGTGTAGGATTTGTTGACAGGAGTGTAAGTAAGATTACTGGAACTTATATTGGCTTGGTATACAATGCTTTTTGTTAAGCTTTGGTTTAATAAGGGCTGGTATTTTTATTAAGGCAAATGCAGTTGTTTTTAGGTGGAATTTTGTTGTTGTTCATAATTTGTTGATTGTGTGCATTTAAAAAAGATTTTATATTTGGCATACAGCTATAACTTATTTTTATCGTGTTTCTGTTAAAAATTGTGTGGAGTGATTTATTTGAAAGTGTTTGTTGATTAAGGATAAAAAGCTTTTTTCTACATTAGTGCTAACATTTTTGCTGAAAGGAGGGTTGAAACATATGATGTTTCGTTTACGGTTTTTGGTATGTGGTAAATTTACATTAGAGTGATATAAAAGTTTGTAATTAAAACCGGATCATAATAGTGCGTGTTATTGTACATAGGAGTAGATCTTCGGAAGATTTCTTTACTTGACGAATTTTCAGACAATTTTAGCTCAATTGAATGTGGAAGCTGTTTTAAAATATTAGGCAAGTGGTTTAAATCAGCATGAATATAATTTATAGAGTTCCCGGACTTAGAATATGGTGAAAAGTATTGTCATTGAAATTTAATGTGACGTCAAGATAATTTATAACTTTCATGTTGCACTGTATTGATAAAGTGAGTTCGTTATTTTTAAATGTTTCAACAAAATATTTTTTTATTTTTTCCAATTGGAGACCACTCATTTTTTTAAAAACTGCTAAACCATCATTGCGGTACAATCCGAAATCATTTTTATCATAAAACTGTGCAATTTGAAACAAAATATAAATTCCCACAAGATCACAAACTTCAGCACCATAAAATGCTCTCATTGAAATATCGAATAAAACGCTTGATTTTTTGATCCAAACTTGATCATTGTTAAATAATAATGATTTTCTTGCATGATAGATCAATGTTTTATGGTAAGGGTCAATGTTTAGATGCTGCTCAGCAAAATGAATAGCGGTGTTAAGAAGTTTTTCACATATCGAAGGGTAAAAATCAACAACATCAAAAATAAGAGATTTATAAAGACGTTTATCACTGATGCGATTAAACCAGTTTGTGTTATCTTGGGTTTGTTTCCACTGATTGAGATGAAGTTTCTTTACAAGTTCAGAGTTTATTTAGAAAGTATGACTTTACCAATTCTGCCGATTTCATTTTTGGCAGAGTTTAATAAACGGACAGTTGGATTGTTCAAACCAATGCTTAACAAAAAACATTTTATAGCAAGCCAAAATAAGTTTTAGTAATCTTACTAACACTCCTGTTAACAAATCCTACATCAGTATAAGTGAAACACCATTCAAAATTAGATATGCCAACCATATAAAATCATTTAACATTCTAAAATACAAAAATGACACCGAACTATCAAAAGAATTTTGATAATTCGGTGAATTACCAAAGTTAAAAGATGCCAACTCAAACCCAG